CCAAACAGGTAAAGGACGGCTGTGCGGGAGCGGGGAGAGAGCGCGCCCACCTGCTCGGAGCCTGCTGCGCCTCGGAGGGTGGGGGAGCGGTGGTTAACATATATGTATGTATCGCCCCAGACTGAAAGAGTCTTCATTCATCTTATGAAGCACGCGTTTAAGGTAACTTTTATACAGACCGAGCGGGGCAGGCTTTGCCTTCCTCCCTCCCACACCACTCGGGCGGCATGCCAGCAGCAAGTGCTCCAAAGGCTTTGTGGAGCAAGCTACGGAAACTACTTCGGGTCTTCCCCTCCCCACGCTTCTGTGAAATCCCTGTTGTCACATTCAAACGCACCACGGCTTTAGCTCCTAGAGCAGTGTCTGCCATCCCCCCCGTTAGTGCACTCATCCCCTGGAGCTCGCTGCTGCTGCTGGGGTTTTGTTGTTGTTACAAAGATCAAGATGTTGCATGAGCAAAACAGCCAACCACAAAACGACTTTCAAAAAGCCTCCTACTCACTCTTGGTTTATTCTAGACTTGAGCAAACTACTTTTAGTATCTCCAAACCACACAGCCACCTGTTCAAAGAGTTAAAAGCCCCAGGAACAAGGAAGATGTTGTAAATGCCTCAGTTACTCAGCTAAACAAAGGAAGGGCCTTTGGGGGATGGCTGGAACGGGGGTGAGGTGGGGAGGCTCCCGGACAGTCTCACTTTGGACTGGGGCCTTCATGATTTGGGGATAGCTAGAATGGCTGTAAGGTAAGGAGGCTCCAGGGACAGCTCTCGGAAATCCTATGAACATGTATAACTTTCAGAGATTATATACCATAAAGTTTACCGCATCGTTGGAGCACTCATGGTGGAGCTATCCCCCAGTGCTGCAAGGAATGCCGGCTTAATAACACTCTGTTGTTATTGAGTTTCATTATATCGGACTCCTTAACCAGCCGCACCTTGCTTCCCACTTCAGTGAGGAAAGTTAGAAAGCAAGGGGGTTTGGATGTTACCAATCTTTGTATCACAAACAGACACTAGATTTTCAGATTCTTAAACAAAAAAACCCACATAACAAAAATCAATTATAAGCATTAATAAGAAGCATCTCCTTCGAAATAAGCAGCTTTCACTACGCACCTTTTGGTGTCCTGGTTTGACAAAGCAGTAAGACACTCATTGGAGAATTTACTTCTATACTTGATTCACGTCCGACACATCACACATGACGGTATTCACCTCACATAAACAACATTAAAGGTCATCCTAAAACTAATGAATTTGTATCACGTTACAGGATCTTACGAAGAAAACAGGAACACAAAGCTTAATTTGCTATAAAATACAATTCACACTTGAACTATAAACACTTCACACCTTTGTCACAGTACTTGCACTTGTTAGGTTTTATTCCTAGGATGGCAGTATATACTGCATTACTCACCTTTTGCTGCTCAGTTATGAAGAGTAATTAACTGGGTTAAAGTACACAAACCACAACTCATTTCTCCAGAAAAGAACTTCTGGTTAGACTGCCAGAAGTGCTTTCATGAACACTGTGGAGTAAATAGCGGCTTCTTGAAACCACTCCGCTCTTGCTTAACAGGTCCCTCTTGTAAGGCTATCAGTTGCTTTTTACTTGTTTTAACAGCTTTTATTTTGGATCCTCTTTGCATGACAAAAAAGATTTTACTTCCTTCTGGCTCAAGATTCATCAGAATTAACTAAGTTTGAACATTGTGCAAGTTCTGTCAATTAAAAATAGAAGTCTAATGGAAATAACACTGTCAAAGTGTAACAGAAAGCAATGTCATCCTGGAAAACTAATGAAGTTGGGGGAAGGGGAAGGCTTCACCCAAGTTAGTCATGCAAGGCTGCAGGGTGTCAGATGGTCTATGCCCCTTCCTTACTTATTTGTGGAAATAGCATAAGCACATAAAGTCACCATGCCACTTCTGTATCTATCAGAGGAAAAACTATTTGTTCGTGACTCAACTTGCTTATCAAGAAATTAAACAAAAAGTTGCTTAATAAAAATAGTATCAATGCCTTAGAACAAAATTGTTTGAGGTATTAATCTTGCCCTCCTGTATTTTGTGCAGCTCAGAAAAAAAGAAAAAAGTGCGTCAGACATTAAAAAAAGCAGGGTGTTCTCACATGATTAACAGGGATTCTTTCCAACTGAACATAATGATATTCAATATCCATTTTCTCCCTACCAGTCACTGGTATGTGAAAGTGTAGCCATATCTATATGTGTTTGTTTAGTTGTATTGCAAGTGAAAATTTTAACTGAAAAAATATTTAAAGGGCCTGAGTTGCAGGAAAACGACACATTTTCAAATGTGGCTCTACGTAAACAGTTGGTCTGCAGGCCAGAGAATGCCACTTACCAGAGACTTGGCTCAAGTGAGACTCTGAAGAATTTCACCCCATAACTGCATTTCTTAATTTTAACATTTTAGCCATTCATGTGTTTGGAAACATTCCAAATGTTACAATTTTCCAATTACAAGCACTAGATATGAAAGACAAAGTTTTTATTTTAAATATAGTCAGTTTTAAAAACAAACAGTAACTCCAACATAATCAAACACAGAACACTTTCACACAAATCAAGTTATATCCTGTATTTGTCTAAAATAAGTTTAACAAAGCAAGTTACTTTGGCACATTCTGTAGATAATTCCATATACAAGAGAACAAACACAGACTTTGTATTTAAGGAAATTTAAGTATAGAACGGGCAGCAGAAAGTTTTGCAGAATGCTTAATTAGATGGAACAGCTGCCAACATTATGTGTCCTATTCTCAATCCATACAAGGAGTTTAAAGAGATGCAATGGACTGTGCCCACAAAACAATACAAAGAAAACCCGACATAATTGTTTTTTGGTCAGTGTTCTTCTGTATTCTGGTGCCACCAGCTCAGATTTTCCAACCATCACTTTGTAGAGAAACGGGGAGCTAAAGGAGTAACAATTTGAAGACTTATTCACCAAATGAATATACGGCAGGATTATCCAGACCAGACTGACATGGGTACTGAAAGAACTAGAAATCTTCCCCACCTTGCAAGCAAACATCAAGTTTCGAAACACTGCATGCTTCATTGCTTCTTCCTGTATTGCTCCAACGATAAACTGACAAGTAGTAAATCTTTCATTAAATTGTGGTGGGGTGGAGTGGGTGGTGATACTACTTTACAGTAACGCATATCACTTGCATTAAGTTAGAATCACTGCCTGTGTCATCAGAACAGCAAATTCAATGGAATGTCACCTAGGCCCTTACAGAATACAGAAAGCATTATGATGGTGCGGCAGCAGACAAAAAACACAAGCTAGTACCACATCAAAGCGGAAAGCTACAAAACTACTAGCTTTTTATCTCCACCATTCTCTTTCCACTTAGTAGCTACTGATTCTTATGGTACGGGGAAACATATGATCTGAAACCTTTTTCCAAAAGCACAAAGAAGCTCTTAAACCACTTGCAGACTGAGCCACAAGCAGCAGCAGTTTACAAGAACTAATTAACACAAGGCCTAGACCTTGTATTTGTAATCCATGAAACTCCTGGATTTCAAATGAGAAGTGTTGAAAGACATCTGGAAAGTTAACTTATACCAAATATTTATAGAAGGCACACTGGGCAAGAACAGTAAATGCAGTATTTTTTAATCAGTATTTATTTTAGCTTTTTACTTTTACAGAAATTAATACAGTGACAGCATCATAGCCTTGTTTAAATACCTGTCTGCCTTTTCTAGACAGGTATCATTCAAATGCATCAAGATGTTATTTGGACCAAGTCTGCTGCTTATGACATTGTAAAATACTTCAACCTTCAGAGCCTCATTCCCTAATTTTTTGCAATCATCTTAAATAAGCATATTCAGCTTAGGTTTCTGAAAACAGAACTTCTCTTTCACTCAGAAAAAACAAACAGAGTACAAGTCTAAATAATCATCAGAGAAACCCCTTAACAAACATATTACCTTCTTAATGAAGACAGAGTAATTAACACACAGATCAACAATTAAAAAGCTCAGGTCCTGTATCTGTGTTTTGCAGGTGGAATTCAATTCTTAAGATAAGGCTGAGGTTTGTTTAAAATTTACAAGGAAGTTTTCCAACACTATAATCAAGGCGCTCTGGGTATTTCCACTGAGGTGGAGAGAAGTGAGCACTTCACAGACTTACAAATCAGCAGTAAAAAACCCAACCAAACAAAAAAAACACTGAACAAATATCTATTAAAAATTCCTGTATGAACATCTTTACTGCAGAATACAGATATGACTAGACTTGAAACTGGCAAGGAAATTCAGGTATTAGATTGAATCACCATTGATGCACACAATAACCTGAGTTGTCCATTTGGCAAAGCAGCCTCCAAGAAGGAAGAAGCCATTAGGTTTGGTTCTCTTTCAACTAAGAAAGTTTTAAAGTGAATTTTAGTGCTCATGAACAGATGCCAACAAACCACTTCTTTTGTCAAAGAGGGGCACTGGTGTCAGAGAAGCAACTTCCTGCCAGTTTGTAAACAGTGCTGTTGCAAAAGCATCAACACCAAGCATGAGACTATATAGGTCTCCATAGATGTTCTCCGCTTGGTCTGTGCCGAGACCGTAAGCAAGCACACCAGCCTGCAACATGACTGAGAAGATTAACTGAAGAACATCACCAACCTGTTTTGCATAAAGCAGAAAGGGAAAATATTTAGTTGCTATCAACTGGTGCTGGACTGACTGGCCCGTAAAGATTACATATAATTTTTATAGACTCAAGTCAGAATCTCCTCAAGCAAATTCTTATTCAAACAATCTAGAAATAAACATTACTTTTGATTTGTTTCCAGTGGCAACATGCACAGAAACAACCAGAAGTCTCCATGAAGCTTCAGAAAGGGCTTGTAGAGGTGCTAACCAACTTCATCAATCAATTATCAATGTTTAACCACTGCCTATAAACGTTTGTAAGAACCAACAAGAGCACTGCAGTTCGGACAGATGTGATCCACATCCTTTAGGGCATCAATGCAGAAGGGAAGTAAGCAGCAGCCAGCTATACACCTGCAGAGAAAAAAAAAAACAAACCCATCTGTTTTACCATTACATACACAAGAATGTAAAATATATTTCCTTAAAAGCCATCAGTAAAATTGGTGCCATGAAGCTTTAGGAAGAACACACATGGCTATGGAGTCCATCACTCTGGCATTCTAGAGCTGCTTTTAGGTCCTATAGGACTTAAATGCAGATGTAGGCTATTCAAACCACAAAGGATCAGGTCCCAGACAGAATGAGAAAGCAACAAAGCTCAGAGCTTTGTTACTCCTTAGATCTATAAAAGGTCATGTAAGAAGAGAAAAATAAAGTGCAAATTGAAATCAACCTACCCCAGCAGGCAGAGGCCACCACACGACAGCCAAGTCAAAGCTCCTGACTCGTATGAGAGACGTGTCACTATCATCTGGTTACAGGAAGGGCAGCACATCTGAACTGGGCGGTCATAAAACACTACTGGTTGCTGCACATACACTGTCTGAACTGTAACTGAGCAGAGAAATACGATGTTTACTCAATGGGTAAATAAGGAAAAAAGGATAGTTAATCAACTTCCTCTGAGCTAGAACTAGCTATTACTATGAAATATTTGAGGCTTAGAGCAATGAAATGCACAATGACAAACAGAAATTACCATTGCATTTCCTAACGCAGAAACACACTGTCTTAAGAATAGGGCTGCAGTAAAAACTGCAGAAAGTCAGATGATGTTGTTGATACTAGGGTACACTGAAAGATTCACAAGAATTGATTCACCTTATTCCCTTCAAAAATATTTTCTGGAAGGTGGGGAACACCTGTGAACCATGATCTTTCATCTTCTGCATACCACCTATTACACAGCCACTTGACAACACCTCCTTAACATGAGGTACAGTAGAGTTTTTGAGGCTTACCGGGGTTATTTGCTGGTGCAGGTTGTCCCACGTACGGAGGAGGGTTCATTCCCTTCCCATCTGGTTTCTGGGCAGATTCTGGGACAGGATAGGGGTGAGGATAGCTCACATTGATTCCTGTTGTTTCCTCGTAAGAAGGTGGTGCAGATGGGACAGGGACGCCACTCGGAGCAGACATTGTATCTATAACACAACAGAGAAAATTATAACGAAAGACATTATTTATTGAGGGCAAGTGACAACCAGCAGGCTCTATTCAGGCAGAAAGCAAGAAGACAACTGGATTAAAATGCACCTTTACCAGCATAAAATTTATTGACTGTTATTTGCTTCTGATAGTATTAAATGCTAATCTTCATTTAATTGTTGTTGTTGCTTCCTTCCCTCTTCATTTTCAAGGTAGTTTTTATACTTTTTCCCACTACTAGTTCTTCTTTTACAAATTAAAAATGCTAAAACAGAGACATGGGGCATCTTTATTAGTATACTAAGCTGTCTGGCAGTTTCTTCCAATTCTGCAAGAACAGTATTTCAGATTTCTCTCATTCTCCTGAAAAAAAAATAATAATCAAACTGTATGATAGGCCACATGGCAGTTGCTAACTAATATGAGCCTTGTTTGTGGTAAAGCTCAAATATTTAAAAAAGACTATTTATCTCTGCTGAGATTTGAAATAAAATACTCACATCGAAGGAAAAAGAAACCCCAAACAATTAAGTACATCCAACTCAACTCAAAGCTTTTACAACTCTCAAATATGTCTAAGGTCGCCATATTTGCTGCTTACCAAATTTTCAATGAGTTTGTTAACACAACTTTCCTCCACCAATTGTTATTTCATTACAGAGTATAACAATGCTAACCATCACCTTTTCCCAAAGTAGAATGAAATGACTGTGATTTCAACGCAGACTTCTTCTCTTTCTCCCTGCCTACCCACCCTGCCCACCGATTTCTTTGTTGAACAATCTCTCACAGTATCAATGCTGATTAAACATCTCCTTCTTTCTCTTCTTCCTAAGGACCATCAGACAGCTCTCTAAGAACCACACTCCATTCTCTGTTGTTGCACATTCGATCCCTCTGTATACAGGCAAGTCTTTTCACTCAGTACTACCTAGGAAGGGCAGCATGTATTTGGAATATTAATTCTGTATTTTTGTAGTAATACAGGAGCTATAAGTAACCATAGCGCTAGCATGAATAAAAGGAGTAACAGAAATTGCACTGATGAGGGGAGGAAAAAGGAAAGAAAAGTATGCTAAGAAATAAAGACACCCACAACCATATAGCATTACTCTCAAAGCTTGTTGCTTTGAAAACAGCAGCTTGATGGATATATGCAGTGTCTTGTGCTGTGAGACACCAGGTATCCTAAGCTCAATCATTCTCCCCACTGTTCATATCACATCTTGGGACACTACTGCATTGCATGGTAATAACAGGACCTAAACATACACAACTTAACTAACTTGGTAGTCACATGCTTCAGAAAACTATTTGCAAGGTTCACAGCCCAAATTCCTTTTCTACCTTATATAAAAATGACACCTCCTCCCAAAAATAAACCAAAGAGGAATGTGGTTAAGTGCAGACATAAGCTGATGCAAAGCTGAACATTAAAGATCAAAGTTCAGACCTGGTTAAACTCTCGAGGCCAACCAGTGGACAATCCTTTCCTCACAAGCTACACTGTGGATTTTTAGCCCAGGAAATATCCTATAACTTGGCTGCCCAATATGCAGAGTCACTATACAGAAGGACAAGGAAAAGAAGAGTAAAGAAACAAAGAGAGTAACATTGTCCATTAAGATCTTGCTGGCTTTCTGGCCCAGAATACAAGAGGAGGGGAAAAAAAAAATGTCTCAGCATAAAACTGAGCTAATTCTTATATTGCCTTTGGGGAATTTAGTTTCTGACAAAATGGAAAATCACAATTTCTTTCACAGTGGAATCAATACATAGTCAGAGCAGAGAGTAGAAGAACAACAGTCAGTGGAAAACCAGCCTACAATGGTTGTGCCATGACCTAGTGCATTATAGTTTCCCACAGAGTGGCCTTTTACTTTTAAGCTAGAATGATTATCAGAGAATTTATTATTCCAAATTAGAGATAACTTGTGAAACTATGCATTTACAACCACCTTCTCCCAGACTACCTCATTACATTGTTATGTGCGCAGACGAAGTCCAGAATTTGTTTGCTGTTTTCAGTATATTGTAAATGCTTAAAAGCACCAGTTTAACAAGCAGTTGCATCAACAAGATTCACCCCAGGAAAGAACGTAGCTGTTTTGTGCTCAGACCTGGAACTTTTCCACTGCATATTCTGAAGAAGGATCTTGTCATCACCATTTCAAGACCTTTCTGTAACAGCCACCCTGAGGTCAAAGCATCCCGGACTTTGAAATTAACACATCGAGTACTACTATTAGTGAGCTATGAAAGAACTGCCTAACGAACTCCCTTTTTCCTTTGGTCTCCTAAAATCTGACTTTTTGTACTGTTTAAAATGCACCTCTTACCACATATCACCCCCAAAAAAATACCACATTCTTCATTCAGAAGAACCGATTGCTTCAGCAGCTTGACTGCAGAGAAGGACCCAGCAGATCTACCAGACCAGAAGCTGAATACAAGCTAACAGTGCCATGAAAATAGCAAACACCATGCAGAGATGCATAAGCAAAATCAGTATCTGTACGACAGCTGAAAAATTTCTGCTGTTCTGGGAAAGCCCCCATGGGAGTACAGTATCTAAGAAACAAACAGCTGAACAGATTTAAAAAAAAAAACACCAAGAACAATCATAAAGGCTAGAAAAGAGGACTTCTGAGAAAAAGCCAAAGAAATTGAGTTTCCTTAGTTTCAAAAGAGCAGAGAGAATAATGAAGACAGACATACAGCAATGAAGAAGAAATAAACAAACTCCTCTGAGAGTAAACTTTAAGGAAAACAGTAAGAAAAACTTTAAAATAACAAGTTTTTCCCTACGTCTGTTTAGACTATTAAGTCTATTAAGACTGTTTAAGCACTAGATAAATTGGCAAGAGAGTTGTGGAGCCTTCCCTCCTGAAAGTTTTAAACAGTTACGCATGTCAGAAATTATACAGCATTAAGTGGATTACAGAATCTCTTCACATCCCTTCCAAATGTATTTTCCATTATTTCAACACTTCCTTTTGAAAGTAAGTGCAATGCCTTTTAAACACCTAATTTTATGTACGCTGTTTCAGAAGTGAGATGCTACATCTTCTGAAGAAAGTAAGGCCCAATCCTAACAAACTGCTTGCAAAAAAACCCCTGCCCCTAAAGCTCATTGCAAGACTGGGTCTAGAACTAACTGATAACCAGCTTCCTCTTACTTAAAAAAATCAAACAAACAACAAAAAAAAGCCAAAAAACCCCACACAAACCACAAAAAAACCCCAAACAAAAAACCAAACCAACGATGATTTTAAAGAGTTTTTGAGTACCAAACTTACTCAAGCTTCAGATAAGACAGTAACTGCAGTAAATTGATACGGCAATAAGCATTCACCCAAGAATCAGACAGTACTGAAAACAAAGGTGAGAGAGACATTCTAGAAAGGATTTTCAGCATTTTATTTTAGCTTAGGTAAGACTTACAGCCCAGGTTAGTAAGTAAACTGCATGTTATACTTCCCTATGCAATCTCTCAAGGCACTAATAGACTTTCTATAGTTTCCATTTGCACTTTGCTCGCTGCAAATCGGTACAGAGCAGCTTGTAACTTTAATCATAATATGTTTTACAGATACATTCTTACATAAAATACCAATGATACAGACATGTCTGGGAAGAGCAACTAATGCATCATGCCTGATTACAAAGAGGACAAAATATTAATATTACAAACCAATCCCAGATCATATAAAAGTGATAAAGAATCTTAAGCATCCATTTAGGATAGGGAAGACTTGAATTTCTATCACCTTAACAAACTGTACCCAGCTACTTACGAAACAGCAGTAATTTACTAATTGAAAGATAAACAGGCACAAAAGCAAGCTGATGGCTGAAGCAGAAACTGAACCCACAAGTTTTGTCATCCTAAAGCAGACTCTGAAATGCTGCTCCCGAATAATTCAAAAGGGAATACTGTTCGGTGACACGTACCCGACTGCAAGAAAAAACAAAGGATGACATGGGTAACAGGGAAGTCAAATACACCGAATAGTTATCTGGAGGTAGCATATATGCAAATCATTAGATAACATTAAAGCTATCTCAAATCAGGATATGCAAACATTGAAAGACCAACAAGCACACTAAATGCAAGACCACACCTTTCACACTGATACACAAGAAGTTTCCATTTACATCTGGAAGTTTCAGATCCAAATGCCATCAAGGACAGGGAAGAACTGGGCAGTTCTAGCTTCTGTTCCCAGACTCTGGTAGTCTTTTGCTTCGAGTCTTTAGAAACGCATGTGGTAAGACAGAGACCAATGGCTTCAGCTACACATCCCACATTGTTCTGCTCTTCATAAAAAACCTCTCGTGTTCCAGGTGCACTATGGTAATGTGAACGTTGACTCACCATGCCCAGCTGCACTCTAACATCAGGCAAAGGAGTCACTAGATTCCACAGACAAATTAATAAAGCAATAAAAGTACCAGTTCCCTCCTCCAGATTTTTCTTTTTTGTTCATTCACTCAAGAGAAAGAGTCACAAGTACTTAGTAGCTGCGAGCACATTTCTCAGCCCAAATAATCTCCTTCATAAGCACACATTGGAACAACATTGGCATGGGACAAAGCACCCTTCCAGTTAATTCCTTTCTGCAGAGGTCTATTGCTCTACATACAGAACAAAGTTGGCACAAAGGCAGGGAAAAGGCTGGTAAAAGCCACAGCATTCACAAACCACTATATTCAAATGAAACCAGATTAGTTACTTATGCTAGCCAGAGAGACAAATAACACATTCTACCGACAGAACGATGCATGGATGGATACCCTTTTCTCCAATGGGGAGTGCAGCACAGCTCTATGTCACTTCTACAACTGCACTAAAGTCCCATGAATTTTGGGGAATGGAAACATTTTGAAACTGTTGAATACTGATTAAAATTCAGTGGTGTGCAGTAGTTTTTGCAGGGTTTTGCATTTTGCAAAATCGTATTTCACCCAAACATTCCCCCCCATTTTAATTCCTAAACTCTTTTAACTCCATGCAGCAATCTGAAACCAGAAGTAGGGTTTGCATGTGCCCCCTACCCAGAACTGCCAATTTTAACACAGCAAGAGAATTTGCAGGCTGTACCTGAAAGGGGGCGGGGGAAGCACACCACCTGGCTAAACTTTCCTTTTTATCTTGCTATTGGAGAAAGTGAATCAGAACTTCTAAGGTAACTTATCTGAAGAACTTACTAACCAGGCATTCATCATAAAGCCAAGATTCTTACGGCCTTCTATTACGGCCTTCGTATCCGACTAAAATCAAAGATAAAACTGACTTGAAACTAGCAGTATGCTCAAAAGCAGCTATAGATTGCAGAAGGATTCAGTAGGGTTATATCTCATCAGACAACTGTCCAATAATGTTTATGTAATTAAAATATAGACTATGACCTACACAGGTTTTTTTTTTAAATAGCTGCATAGTGTTCCTCAGTAAGTCCTCTCACAACATGGGCTTGTAAAAAGCTGGGCAATTTCTTCAGAATGCTAATTGAAAGATCAAACTGTAAAACCTAGCATAGATGAGGAAGACTCTTACTCTGACATTCTTCATCAAGATGCATAAAGGCATTACAGGAAAAATAACAACGAACGTACGTTTACCACAGTCTAGAAGCTACACAGGTCTTAACGTGCCCAAAACAATAGGTTCCCCTGTGATAACCTACACCTGCTACATCTGCCAGGTAATACACATTCACACACTAACTTATGCCATTGTCTGTTCTAGGAAGGGAAATATATTCAAGATTTCCTTCCTCCTAAGGGGCAGATTTACTGTAACAATATTAGTGCACTATCATCTGTGTCATGCTCCCAAACACAGAGACAGACAAAACTACAGGACTGCAGTCATCTTCCCCTTCCCTCCTCACACTCCATTCATGATGCAGATCAGCCAAGGTCAGAGTCTGGTTCACACACCTTTCATGCATCTTCACCTAGTGATAATCACCGTACCTACAAATTGTCCTCTCCACACCCAAAACCGAGCATGTATTTATTACCATATTCTCACCATAGAATGCATCCCTCATCTTATGAAAATTTTGTATATTGCCCAGATTGGTATGTCAACCTTATGTAGTTTAAAACTGCAGCCTTCTTCTGAAGGCAGGACATACAAATGTGTGTATTTTAAGAATGCAGAAAAATACCTTTTGCCCAAGCAAAAATGGGAAAAACACACAGGAGGGGGAACAAGTCAAAAGCAGAAAGGTAAGTCAAGTCATTCATGCCTTACCCAACAATTACAGATGAATCATTAGGCAACACTTTTTTTAATCCCAGCTGGTTTCCTGACCTGCACAAGTCTAATGGAAATGGATTCCACAGCAGCACACAGGTAACAGCAACAGCACCTCAAGAATAACTGTGGGTAGGTAATCTCTCCACCCCTTACCAGGAGGGGAGAAAAAAAAAAGGTCTGCGCAGCCCCACCACTAACACACCACACGAGGAGAAACTTAGGTGCAGAAGCATTGCTCCTGGGCGGCTGGAGAAGCTGGACGAAACTGTAGAGTCATCCTTCCCTCCCTGTCCAGCAAAGCCTGAGCCTGGCACCTGCTTTTAATGCAACAGCAAGTACTGCTCTAAGAATGGAAGAGCAAATACACTTACTACCTTACAGAACAATTTTCCTTATCTGAAATCTTCCTTACCCACTCGGTTAGAGACCAAAAATGCTCTGCTTGCTTTTAAACAGGCTCCCCTGAAACTGAATAATTACATCTGTATTTGCTTGAAGCCCTTCTGAAACAAAATTTTAGTATAAAGAAAATATAATTTTTAGTTTCAATCAGAGGGTATGTCTGTCATAAGAAGTTTTATTAAAAGATAAGCATAGTTAGCTACATGAAAGTTTGAACTAAGAACATTTTCACTGTTTGGTATGGATTTACAACTTTCCTAGTTTTACTCAAAAGAAATTTGTACCCTTAGAAACAGTTCAATAGCAAATGTCCTAAATCAATCTAAGACTACTTCTACCAAAAGAAAGATCCAACTTGCCACTTCAGCTGCCTACCACTATGGAGTGAGTTTTCAGCCACACCAGTTCCTTATTCTCACCAGCCGCCCAATAGCATAAATGCTAGTGTTACAAGGGGAGATGGCAACAAGACTCATACAAGGGAACATAAGCAGATCATAAAACCAAACCAAATATCTCAGACCATCTGTTTTTACTTTCATAGAGCATCATTCCAAAACTCAGAACCAATACATATGCGCTCTCACCAAGAGGAGGGACATTTCCGTTACACACATTTATTAGGATGACTTAGAAAAGAAGTACATAGTTTATTTTTATCTTCCACTGTAAGGGATGTTGCTGAATGTGAATTTATGTGAATGCACTACATTACATTGCTTTCTAGAGAATTTTTACTGACAGGTACAACACACTAGCAAAGATGCCATGCAAGACAAGGCAAGAATAAGAAAATAAAGTGAGCCCCTATCTGGCTATCCAAGCAATGAACAAGGTGGCAATATCATCAAGAAAGTATACTTTTTATAAGAGCGTAAGAAGTGA